TCGGTGTTCGACCCCAGTGGCGGGTCACTCGATTTTCGACCTCAGTGGTCGTTCGACTTTTGGTGTTCGACCCCAGTGGCGGGTCACTCGGTTTTCGACTCCAGCGGCGGATTATACAGTTTTCGACCCCAATGGCGGGTCACTCGGCTTTCGACCTTAGTGGTCATTCGGTTTTCGGTGTTCGAACTCAGAGACAGGTCTTTCGGTGTTCGACCTCAGAGGAAGGTCTTTTGATTTTAGAGCTCAGTGGTCAGTCGATGGTCGACTTCAGAGGGCTTACGTTGTGACACATATTTATTTTGGTCTGCATGTTATTATTTACTAGTACGTACCCCGTGCGATGCACGAGATAAATATATTAAATGAGTTATTTTCACACTCTTGTCCGTTTAAGTCTAAAAAATAATAAGGTTATTATCTATTTTCTACCTCTTTTAATCAACGTTAAGTCTAAAAAACAATAGGGTTATTATAAGTTTTTTTCCAGTACATCTTTTAACCAGCGTTGTTTTTTTAGCCAGAACATTAAATATGAGCATGTTAGGGTTAGCTTGTAAAATAATTAATATATTATCTCAGTAAAACATTTATACTAATAAAAGTTTAATTTTAGTATATAAAATCCTTGATATAAGAGAAAGTAACAGTTTTACACTTTTACTTATCGTTGTTCACTATATAATATTTAATTATTATTTTATTATATAATAAAAGGAATACTGTTAAATAGTGTAGTAGAATTGTTATAAAATTACATGAATTATTTTTTTTACAATATGGATTTAGTATCATTTTATGATTTGATAATATAACTATAATATATTCTTAATGATACAATCTGAAATCGGATTACAGAATTTCAATACATAAATAATAAAATTTTTGGTAAAAAGATAAGAAGGAAATTTCAATTTCAATCTACAAAAAGTTTAAAACGATTTTATGGGATTTTGTTGACTAAACGGATTGTATGGGATAAAACAAATAGAATATAAGAAGGAAATTTCAAATATACAAAAAATTAAAGCCGATTTTGTGGATTTTTTTGCAGGAAAACTAATTGTATGGGAATAGTAATAGCATTAATTAAATCGTGTAGCATTAATTTCAATATAAAATAGTTAAATAAAATACATGCTGGAAATAGTAATAGCATTAATTGCAGTTGACTTTTCTGGATACTATTTGTAGTAAAGGATCCCTTTTAATATAAGTATAGATTTGTGACTTTTGGATATTTTATCATGTGGTTGTAGTAATGACTATATGATTGATTAATATGAAGTAGTTTCAACCCACTTTGAGGAATGCGGCTAAATGTTTTATTCTTGCAATTTATGTTTTTTCACATTAATTTTCAGACTCTAAATTTATTGAATATTTTATTTTACACATATACGGCAAAAAGTTCTTATGAATGAAATTTGATACAAATTGAACATTTATTAAGGAACAAAAAGGCAATAAATATTGGAACACAATAATATGCGATGGTTTAATTCTTCAAATTTGATTCATAATTATAGATAAAACTGTATTAACAGGTTACAAGGTGTGGTTTATTACAAATTAAATTAGAGATTAAACTAAACTCGGTGTACGTACTTTTAACTGACACGAAATTATTATTTGATTATCGACTTAATCGAAACTAGTTGTTCACGCACTGCTACAAGCCAACTAGTATGAAAAATATGAACAATAATGAAAGTAATATTCTGAAGTCATTCAAATTTGATTCTCTTAATCTTGATCACCGAGTTTTTTGAGAAACTGAAAATTGAGCATATCCTTAGCCAAGTTAAAAATTGTTAATTTCTCTCGTTGCTGAGAGGTTCTTCTCTTGTTCTTGAGAGTTTCATCTCCTTAGGGAGTGTTCTTCTTCGATTAGCGAAGTCAAGGGATCTACAAGAGCGTAATATCCTCGAAAGTATTCATTTTAGAGCACATAGGGGATGGAGGAAGACCTAGGGCAGAGATTACGGCAAATTTCAATTGCCGATGCAGAAAAACTCATAATCGACATTGAAGAACAGGATGTCCGCTTCAGTGCGGAAGAATGCGATCGAAGTTTATTCGGGAAAGTGGTCGGAGAGAAGAAAGCCAATTGGATAGGAATCAAAAGAACCATGGGACTACTGTGGAGAATGGGAAACACGCTTGAAGTTCGCGAGCTCAGTGGCAATTACTTCCAATTCCTATTTCCGAGTAGGGAAGCTATGAAACGCGTGGACCTAGGAAGGAGCTGGATATTTGAGAACCAGTACATTATTCTCCAACCCTGGCAAAAAGGACTAACAGAAAAACATCCCAAATTTGGAGAGATAACAATCTGGGTCCAAGCCCATGGAGTTCCGATTAACTGGATGAGCATAGAAGTGGGGCTAAAGCTGGGAGCAGCCTTCAAGGACATAAGGGATGTTAACATAGCAAGAGCTGGATTCCAGGGAGGCAGAATTATTAGATTGCAAGTAACATTAGATCTGAAAGAACCACTTCCCAGATGGTCAACAATTAGATTGGGAGAGGAGAAGGTGACAGTTCTCTTTAAATATGAAAAAATCGTGAGTCTTTGTTACTATTGTGGGAAGCTGGGACATGTTGACAAAAACTGCACTCAGAAAGTGGAGGACATTGCTAAGAAAGAACCTAAACAGGGCCAGTACGGTGAATGGATGAGAGCTGCAGAAGGGGTGGTCATATCAGCGTCACCACCGGCCAGCGATAACAGTGACCCGTCCATGAACAGACCCTCTGAGCCAAATCTTTCCCCTGAGTTACGAGATCAAGGACCACAGACACAATTTCAAGAAGGGTCTGACAGAGAGAATCTAAATCTCTCTAACTACTTGGAACCAGTAGATTCACCTCACAACCTAGCATTGGTGGAATCCTCATCATCAATAGCTGAAAGGGAAGATCATATTGACTCGAATTCTGAGAGAGCTACACCAACTCCTATCTTCACAACTCAGCCTGAAAGAGAATGGAACTTGGAACTCATTCCTGAAGGGGAGGATACAAAAATGGAGATCCAAGAACATAATGAGAAAGATGCTCAGGCCAAAGGGAACCAGGATAAGAAGCAGATAGGCAAGATGTGGAAAAGAACATCAGCCAAAGTTGGGAGACTTGCAAGACAGGAGAATCAATTGACCATCATTAAGGAGGTACCCTGTGGAGCTAAAAGAAGCAGAAAGAATACTTGCATCCAGAATGAAGAGGATGAATATATTCAAGACCAGAGTGAGGGACAGAAGAAAGCCAAACTATCAGGGAAAGAGGTGGTGGTAGCCAGCCAAAATTGGCCCCAGGGTGATCAATGTTAGCCCTGGTGTGGAACTGTAGAGGTTTGGGTGGCCCCTCTACAGTTCCCCAAATTCGAGAGGCATTAAATACTCATCATCCAAAGTTTTTATTTCTGTCTGAAACCAAGAAAAATAAAAATTTTACTGCTGCACTATGTAATAAGTTAGGGTTTGGTGATAGAATTTGTTTTGTTGAACCTGTAGGCACTAAAGGTGGCCTTCTTTTATGTTGGGATATGAATGTAATAGTGTTGCAGGTGTTAAAATTTTCCTTTTGTATTCAAGTGCAATATCAATGTACTAGTAATGAAGATCCATGTTGGATTGTTTTTGTGTATATAAGTACTGATAATTCTGTTAGGAGTATCCAATGGCAGAGTTTGATTGATGACAAAAATAAATGGGGGAAAGATTGGTGTCTTGTGGGTGATTGGAATGACCTTTACATGGCTGAGCATAAACAAGGAGGGCGGCCGAGATCTACTAGAAGTCTGCTACCTTTTCAGAGCTTCATTTATCAAATGGGCATGACTGAAATTCCCATGAGTGGTTACCAGTACACTTGGTGCAATAATAGAGAAGAGGAAGGCATGGTAGAAGAAAGGCTGGACATTGCCTTTGGTTCCCTGGGATGGCTGACTAGATATCCTAACTCCAAAAGCCACAACATGTTCAAAAGTGCCTCAGACCATGGGATGCTCACACTTCAAACTGAGATACCAAAAGCAAAGCACAAGAGTAGATTCAAATTTGACAAAAGATGGCTCTCCAAACCAGGGATATGGGAAGTTGTCAATAAAGCATGGGATAAACCACAGCTAGGTACACCATTCTACCAATTGAAAGAGAAAGTAAAAGTCACAAGAATGGCAATATCTGAATGGAGCAAGCAGACTGGTACAGACAGTAGGAAGAAGATTGCTAACATTACACTGAAGCTGGAGGAAATGAGACAGTTGGGAAATGGCAAGAATTGGGAAGAATGGGAAAGCCTCAAGCAGGAACTGGATGATGCACACTGTTCTGAGGAAGCATTTTGGCAACAAAAATCTAGAACTTTATGGCTTAAAGAAGGGGACAAGAACTCCAGATTCTTTCATGCTGTAACTATGCAAAGGAGAAAAAGAAATGCAATCACCAGACTGATTGATGAGAGGAACAGAACTCTTGAATCCAAGGAGGACCTGCAAAGTTATATCTCCCAGTTCTACAAGAAGCTATTCACTTCTGAAGGGTCTACAAGTGAGGACAGAATGCTTCAGCTAATACCTCAAACAATTACTCAGGAGATGAATTTGGATTTAATAGCTGAAGTAGAGGAGGAGGAAATTAAAAACTGTCTCTTCTCTATGAATCCATTGAAAGCACCGGGTGAAGAAGGTATGACAGCTTTGTTTTACCAGCATTTCTGGCCAATCATAAAGAAGGACCTTTGCAAAGCAGTGAAGAGCTTCTTCCTCACAGGGTTATTTCTCAGATATTGGAACCACACCCTTGTGACCCTCATTCCCAAATGTGACAACCCAACATCTCTAAATCAGTACAGGCCTATAAGTCTCTGTGCTGTGGTGTACAAGGTCATATCAAAAATACTGGCCACAAGACTGAAGAACTGCTTGCATCAGTGTATCAGCATATCTCAAGGAGCTTTCATTCCAGGAAGACAAATGCTAGATAATGTGATCATTGCACAGGAGTGCTACCACTATCTGAACAGACACAGATCAGGGAAACATAGCTTCATGGCATTGAAGCTGGACATGATGAAAGCTTATGACCGGGTTGAGTGGAGATGTCTGAGTGCTTTAATGCTGAAAATGGGCTTTGATGGAAGATTTGTTACCTGGATAATGCACTGTGTGTCTTCAGCCACCTTTTCCTTTATGCTTAATGGAGAGGCTGTGGGTTTTGTACAACCTTCTCGAGGTTTGAGACAAGGAGACCCAATCTCTCCTTATCTATTTCTGATTGTCTCTGAAGCTTTATCAGCTCTCATCTCCTCTTCTGCAAGTCAAGTGGTGTTCAAGGGGTTAAGATTGGCAAGAGGAGGTCCCCTGCTGACACATCTTTTATTTGCTGATGATCTGCTAGTGTTCTGCAAAGCTGATATGGGACAAGCTCTCTTACTTATGGACATCTTGCAGGTGTATGAGCAATTCTCTGGACAAAAAGTTAACCTGACTAAATCTACAGTGTTCTTTAGCAAGAATACCTCACCTGAGGTCATGACTGAGATATGTGAAGTGCTTGATGGTCTGACTGCTCACAACTCATCAAGGTATTTGGGACTCCCTTTTGGAATTGGTAGATCAAAGAAGGAGACCTTTGAGTTTGTCACTGAAGCTGTCAGAAATAGACTGGAGAGTTGGAAAAACAAATACCTATCCACTGCAGGCAAGGAGGTTCTAATCAAGGCAGTTATCAACTCACTACCAGTCTTTGCTATGTCGTGCTTTAAACTTACTGCTGGGATTTGCAAGGAGATAGCTAGTATGACAGCTAAATTCTGGTGGAGCAAAGGAGGAACTCAGGAGAGAGGCATTCACTGGAAGAACTGGAATCTGCTTACATTGCCTAAACAGCAAGGAGGGTTGGGATTTCAAGATATCCAACTCTTTAATGAAGCCTTGTTGTTAAAACAGCTTTGGAGAATTACAACTCAACCCAACTTGCTTGTATCTAAAATCCTGAAAAGTAAGTATTTTCCTCATTCATCCCTGTTCCAAGCTGAGAGAAAAGAATCATCCTCCTGGCTATGGTCCAATTGGCTGACAGTACTACCTATTTTCAAATCACATTGCTGGAAAGAGATTAAATCAGGGCAACAAACTCAAATCTCAGATGGAGGATGGGTGAAAGGACTTGGTGGTGCAGCTCCTAACTTCCAACAGGGAGTGGTATCCAAGCCTGTTTGGGTGTCTGAACTTTTTGATGATACTGGGAGAAGATGGAATGCAGCATTGGTGAAGAATCTCTTCTCACAGCAAACCAGTGCAAAAATTCTGGAGATTAAAAATACTGACCCTAACAGTGAGGATAAATGGCAATGGGAACTTAGCAGCAAAGGTACATTCACAGTGGCAGATTCCTACTCATATCTGGTCAAGGAAAAAGTACTCAAACTTGATATCCCAGAAAGCAGCACATCCAAAAGAGTGGACACTACTGTGAGGGATAGAAGCTGGAAGCTAAATATTAGGAGTCGACTTAAACACTTTATTTGGAAGTGTTTCACTGGTGTGTTACCTGTTAGGGTGAATTTACAGAGGAAAGGAATTGAAGTCGAAGCTATTTGCCCTGTATGTGGAGAAGCTGAAGAAACTATAGAGCACTTATTCTTGCATTGCAACAAAGCAAAGAGTGTATGGAAGATGGCTCCACTGATCTGGGATGGCATTAACTTACAGAACATAAGCTTCAAGGGATGGTGGTGGCAAGTGTGCGCTATAAACAAAACCGAAACTTCCGAAGCCCGAATCCAACTATCAACATATATCCTATGGTGGCTTTGGAGGTCTCGAAACCTGTGGGTGTTCAACAAAGAAATAGTGCCAGTGCATATCATTCTGAAAAGAGCTATGAGGGAGTGGAAGGAGTTTAGAGCAGTTGGTTAAACATTTCCATTTCTGTGATGATAAGTTGTTCTCTTCCTTTGCGGTTGCTGTGATGGTCTAGTTTGGTTAATTTGGTCTGGTAGTAGTCTTTTCTTTTTGTTCTAGGTGATAGCAGATCATTTGTTGATGTGTTGTTTTTCTTTTCTTGTTCTTAGGACCTGCTTTGTTAGTAAGGGTGGTTTGATGTGGTTGTGTCGTAGGTGTGTCAAGGTTCGGGTGGTTGTGCCTGCTTGATACCCTCGGGTGGGTTTGTATCTAGACCACTGCTTGTAGTGCGTCTCCCAGTTTATTTTCTACCCGTTGGTAGGCTCGGCGGTCATGTACCAAACTTTGATTCGTATTATGAGCATTTCCTATCGTTTGAAAAAAAAAAAAAAAAAAAAAAAAATGCCAAATTNTTTAAATATATATGTTGATATTGTTATATGTCGGTCAAACGGTCATAACTTTTCTTTGTTTAATAGTTGACAATATTACATACTACGTTTGTCAAATTATATTACACGAGCCCAATAGAATGAATATAGTGGGGTTTCCCTTTTTGTCTCTAAATTAGTATGTCCCGTGCGATGTATGAGACAGATATATTAAATGAGTTACTTTTACAGTCTTTGTCCATTTAAGTCTAAAAAGTAATTGGGTTATCATCTATTTTTCACCTCTTTTAATCAGCGTTAAGTCTAAAAAACAATAAGGTTATACTTTATTTTCCACATCTTTTAATAAGCGTTGTTTTTTAGCCAGAACATTAAATATGTGCATGTTAGAGCTAGCTTGGCCCAACTTAAATGAGATATGATAGCTTCCTTGTGGTTTAACATTCTTGCCAATATATTATTGGCATATCTCACTAACACATTCATACTAATATAAATTTGATTTTAGTATATATATTTATTCCTTGAAATAATAGAAAATAATTGTTTTACTTATTCTTGTTCACTATATAATACTTTATTAATATTTTATTATAAACTTTTTTGTCAAATAATGTCATTATTATTTATAAAAGTTATATAAGTTGTACGTCTTTTTTTTTCTTTTTATTTTATGTGATGAAAAATATTTAATGAACGTAAGTATTATTTATTTACGTAATCAATTTAAAATATGTAAATAAATTTAAAATTAAATAGTGTATAAATATTTATACACACATGGTTTTTTTTAGAATTTAATTTTGTATACTAATTAAACAACTTTGAATAAGCATATAATCAAGATTTTTTCTAATTTGAAGTATAAAGATTTATAGTTTATGTAGCATACTCTGCAATAAAAATATATTTTACCAGAATTTCATTATAGAAAGAAATCAAAATAAAAAATGATAAAAAAAATTATGGTTGCCAATAATATACATATAAATTCTAAAGAACGATTAATATAATTTAATTTTAATTTTTGACCATTAGTACAACCATTTAATGTATTTGGCCATTATCTCTTAAATGGTAAATTACATTAATTTGAAGAATAATTTATGTTTTATATACAACGAAATAAAGCTTAAGAAAAAATTATATTAGCAAAGAATATTCTCCAACTTGATTTCGCCTGACTAATTGGAAGACAAAATTCTACTTATCCTATCACGATTTTCAGTAAATATTTTTGAATAAAAAG